CCCAGGGCTCGAGTCGGTTTGGGTGATTGGGGGTGGGCAGGTGAGCCTTTGGTGAGACTCAAAAATGGCTTTTTCCCCAGGGTTGAAGTTTCAATGACAAGGGGGCACAGGTTCAAGGTCAGAGGGGGAAAGTTTAAGGGAGATGTGCAAGGGAAGTTTTTCCACACAGAGAGTGGTAGCAGCCTGGAATGCACTACCAGAAGAGGTGGTGGAAGCGGGCACATTGAAGACATTTAAGCGGCACCTAGATGGGTACATGAATAGGGAGGAAATACAGGGATATGGATCGAAAAATGGCAGCTTTGTTTTTAGATTAATTAGGACATGATGTTCGGCACAGGCTTGGAGGGTCGAAGGGCCCACTCCTCTGCTGTACTTTTTCATTTGTTCATTTGTACAAATGAATAACATGACATGAGTTTCAGAAAACAAGGGTGATAATTTGAAAAATGCAACCAGGCTAAGCACCTGTGTGGGTCACCAGTATAGTCATAGGAAACATATTGGATTAGCCAAAGTTTGCAGATGTTCAGTGACCAGTCGGGAGATTCCCATACATCCCATGGAGCTGAAATTCCTCCACTTACTAGCCACGACTGTTAGCCAATGGCCATTTTGACAGGTTTTTTTAAATCAAAAGGAGATGGTGAGAAATTATTTGATGCATAAATTGTTGGTTACATGTGGGTCCATGTTAAAGCCTAAGTGTATTTCTGTGTATGTTTCTATAGGAAGGTGTGTGAGTGTGTGTGCATGCGAGTGAGTGTGTTGTGTTTGAGTGTGTGTGTGCGAGTGAGTGTGTGTGCGTGCGAGTGAGTGTGTTGTGTTTGAGTCTGTGTGCACGAGTGAGTGTGTTGTGTGTGAGTGAGTGTGTGTGCGAGTGAGTGTGTTGTGTTTGTGTGTGTCCGTGCGAGTGAGTGTGTGTGCATGCGAGTGAATATGTTGTGTTTGAGTGTGGGTGCACAAGTGAGTATGTGTGCAAGTGTGTGTGCGAGTGAGTGCGTGCACGAGTGTGTTGTGTGTGTGTGAGTGTGTGCGTGCAAGTGCCTGAGTGAATGTGTCTTTGAGTCTATGTGAAAGAGTATGTCTGTGTGTATCTGTGTAAGTGTCTGTCTGTGTGTGTGAGAGTGCATGCCTCTGTCTCTGTATCTTTGTCTGAGTGTGTGTGCCAGTGTGCGTGTGTGTCTGAAGTGTGCGTGTGTATGTGAGTGTGTGTGCGTGTCTGTGTCTGAGTGTGTGGAATGCATATGTGTGTGCGTGTGTATGCATGTGTGTGTTGTGTGTGTGCGTGTGCGTGCGTGTGTGTGCCCTTGTGTGTGTGTGTGTGCGTGCATGTGTGTGTGTGTGTTATGTGTGTGTATTTTCAATGAGGGTCTATCTGTTAGGCTTTTGTGGAATCTGCTTTATTTTTCTTGGTAATCAGAGTCACTGATTTCTTTCATTAATCTGTTACAGTAGGGAAGGAGTGAGAGACAGCCTGGGTGTGGGAAAATGTAAACGCTTTCAAAAACTGATGATATCAAAAGCAACCAGGGGGACATGAAATAAATAGAATGTTGCAATGTATTCCTGGGTCCTGCATGCTTCCCACAGAATTCCAGTGTCAGATGGGAATGTGCCAAACCAAAGCCTTCTGAGGCCTCATACTGTGATTAGAATCAAGCCGCATTTACGAAACAATCAAACCAGTATATTTTAATCACTGCTTTTGTCAACATTCTGATGTTGATTGTTTCCTGCAGTAGCTTCATCTATCTAACTATCTCTCAACAGGCCTGAACTTTCAGAAAGAGCAATATCGTAGATATGCCCTGATCATCAATTAGTGAATGAGACAATGAGATCAAGGAGAGACAGAGATAGAGAAAGACTCAGTATTAGAGTTACATACACAAAGCAACCAACATACAAATGTACACACACACTAACACAGGCACACAAAGCAACAAACGCTCAGAAACAAGCACACAGCACCAAACAAACAAACACACATATAATTATACACAAAGACCAGCAAAAACACATAGTTATACACACCCAGACACAGACAAATAAACACACAGTTACACACATACATACACAGACCAACAAACACAAACACAGTTCCACACAGAGTCACAAACACACACAGATACAGAAATAGAATTGGCACGGTGGCTCAGTGGTTAGCACTGCTGCCTCACAGCGCCAGGGACCTGGGTTTGATCCCACCCTTGGGCGACTGTCTGTGTGGAGTTTGCACATTCTCCCCGTGTCTGCGTGGGTTTCCTCCCACAGTCCAAAGATGTGCTAGGTGGATTGGCCTTGCTAAATTGCCCCATAGTGTTCAGGGATATACAGGCTAGCCACGGGATATGCAGGGTTACAGGAATAGGGTAGGGGGGTGGGTCTGGGTGGAATGCTCTTCGGAGGGTCAGTATGGACTCAATGGACCAATTGGCCTGCTTCCACACTGTAGGGATTCTATGAAACACACACAGAGGTACAAACACACAGTTACAAACATGGTTACTCACACAAAGCAATAAAAACAGACACTGTTACACATGGACCAACACACACACATACATACATACAAGCCAGAACTGTGGATGCTAGAGATCTGAAACAAAAATAGAAATTGCTGGAGAAACTCAGCAGGTCTGGTAGCATACACATACAGGACAACAAACACAGTTGTACACACAGCAACAAAGACAGTTACAAACACACAAAGTTACACATGGAGCAACAAAGACAGATGGAGAAAATACAGTTACATACGCAGATATACATGGAGGCATATCCCAGACAGACACACACATAGGTGTAGGCAGAGGTGTAGTGATATTATTGCTGTAATGTGGGCAGGGGAGCAGGGGCCTTGTGCTATTAAGGGTATTAATCCAGAAACCCTGACAATGTTTGACCCAGATTCAAATTCTACCATGGCAGGTGGTGGAATTTGAATTCAATGAATACCTGAAATTAGGAGTCTAATGATGACCATGAATCCATTGTCGATTGTCAGAAAAACCCATCTGGTGCACTAATGCCATTGGGGAAGGAAACTGAAGTCCTTCCCTGATCTGGGCTACATGTGACTCCAGACCCACAGCAATGTGGCTGACACTTAACTTCCCTCTGGGCAATCAGGGATGGGCAATAAATGCTGGTTTGGCCAATGATGCCCACATCCTATGAATGCATATAAACCAGTGGAGAGTGAGCATTGCCCTCTGGGAGGGCAGAATGGAGCGAGGGCTGCATTATCAGAGGACCTGTTTCTCAGCACTTTTTTGAGAAGAGTTGGGTGGTTTTCCGGACGCAATACTTATCCCTCAATGAAGATGACATTACCCAGTCATTACACCTTGTTATTTTTGGCATCCTTCTGTGTATAAATTGCCCACCCCTTCTACATTAACAACTATGGCCTCATTGTAAAAATGAATGCATTATGTGCAAATCATTGTGAGTGCTGCAGCACTGTGGGATCAGCTGAGTTGTCCTTGCATAGAGCTATCTCCGAAATAATAGGCTGAATGGCTGTAACTGTCCATGAATCTTTCCACATTATTCATTGGTTTTTTGGAGCATCACTGGCTTGGGCCAGAATTTATTGGCCATCCCTATTTGCCCTTGAGAAGATGGTGGTGGGCTTCCTTCCTGAACTGCTGCAGACGTGTGGTGTAGCGATCCCTCACAATACTGTTCGGGAGGAAGTTCCAAGATTTTGCCCAGCGACAGTGGCCTTTCATTTCCAAGTCAGGATGGTGAGTGGCTTGGAAGGGAATTTGCAGGGGTATTTGTGGATGTGGTGCCAATCAAGCTGGCTACTTTGTCCTGGATGGTATGGAGTTCTTGAGTGTTGATGGGGCTGCACTCATCCAGGTAAATGCGGGAGTATTCCATCACACTCCTGACTTGTGCCTTGTAGATGTTGGACAGGCTTTGAGGAGTCAGAAGATGAGTTACTTGCTGAAGGATTGTTCTATATTAATCAGTACATACCGAGGAATTACTGAGCTGCCAATATTCCTCTCTTAAAGAGGTTCCTATTTGGGAGGGACCTACAATGGAGAGCTGAACAACATTCTTTAGAGGGACGGAAATCTGAAGGTGTGAAAACCATCATCATTGATATTGCACTTGGGAAATATCCAATCTTAAAAAAGAAGGACCCAGCGCAGTAATGGAGATAGTAAGAACTGCAGATGCCAGAGTCAGAGATAACACAATTTGGAGCTGGATGAACACAGCAGACCAGGCAGCATCAGAGGAGCAGGAAAGTTGATGTTTCGGGTCAAGACCCTTCTTCGGAATTCAGATTTCTGAAGAAGGGTCCTGACCCGAAACGTCAGGTTTCGTGCTCCTCTGATGCTGCCTGGCCTGCTGTGTTCCTCCAGCTCCACACTGTGTTATCACAGCACAGTAATGCCGTGTTAACATTATGAATTGACTTGATAATTTAACCAAAGTTTTTGGTAAAACAGATTCACAGAACTGAGAGATATTAACGATCAGGAGAGTCTGAACAGCCTGAGGAACCTTCCTCTGGAGAAGCGGAGGCTGAGGAGTGGAGTGCCCTGATAGAGGGGCTTTGATAGAATGGACATAGAGAAGATGTTTCCATCTGGGGGGAAACCAGAATTTAGGGCCGTCAATCTCAGACAGTCTGTAAGAAATCCCATCAGGAAGCCTGAAGAAATGTCTTCACCCAGAGAACGGGGAGAATGTGGAACTCGCTTCCATAGGGAGTGGGCAAGGGGAATAGAATTGATACATTGAAGGGGGAAACTGGATAAACACACATGAGAGACAGGAATATGGATAGACTGATAGGGGAAGAGGAAGAGGGGTTGGGATGAGTTCAATATGGAGTAGAAACGTAAGAACAGAACAGATCGACCAAACAGCCTGTTCCTGTGTGGTGAATACTGTGTAAACTTGAAACACAGTGAATTGAGAGTCAGTGTAATATTCTATGATTCTGGTCAGCATTCACTGTGGCCTCTTACCTCCTGGAGTTTCCTGGCTGTGAGTCTCTGAGTGTGGAGTAGGCCCCTGAGCTCTCACGGTCAGCAACCCGTCTCTAGTTTGCTGCAGCTCCTCGATTAGTGATGTGCACATGCTCTGCTCGCCTGACATTGCCTTGCTGGTTTCTGACTTCGCCAGGTGCTTGTCTAGCGTCCCAAGCCTGTCGTATAGGCCCATCACCGAGAGGAAGACCTCCTGCAGCTTTTTGGTGTGCTCCAGCTGCCATTTGACTGCACCCTCACGTGCCAGTTCCAACAGTTTGGTAAACCGGACACTCCCTGTGTCCTTCTGGTGATGGTGGGCATGCCTACAGGCCTCAGTGCCCCCAGCCAGTGCCTGCTGCACCTCGGAGCGCATCGCACGCAGTTCAGCAGCCAGGACCTCGTTGACAGAGTGCAGGAGCATGTTCTGACGCATTTGGGAGTCTTCCAGCATCACAAATACCTTGTCCAAACGTGAAAGGTCCTTATGACACGGACAGGCCTCAGCTGTGGGATTGGGAAGGCACTGCAGGTTAAACAAAAGCTGGAGCACATAAGGTGTCACTAACACTTCATCCCAAAAGGCCCCAGGCTCAACACAGCTCTGGTTCCCCATCCCTCACTCCCTCTCTTTCTGTCCCTCTCCCTATTTCCTCCTTCCGATTTTTTCTTGCATCATTGATCACCCTTTAATTTTTCCTCATTTTTTTCCTGACGCTTTTTCTCTATTTTCTTTCTCTTTATTTTTCTCTCACCTGCTCCAGCCACTCCTCTGACCTTCTTCCCTCTGCTCAACTCTGTCACTTTTATTTTCTCTTTCTGTATTATTTTATATATTCTTGTCCTCTCTAACTAGAATGGAAATGAGCTGTGTGAATTTTGTGTACTTGAATGTCTCTGCTGCCAGAGGAAGTGGTGGAGGCTGGTACAATTACAACAGGTAAACGGCATCTGGATGGGTATATGAATAGGAAGGGTTTAGAGGGATATGGGCCAAATGCTGGCAGATGGGGACTAGATTAATATAGGATATCTGCTCGGCATGGGTGAGTTGGATCGGGGTGTCTGTTTCCATGTTTTACAGCTCTATGACTCTGTGATGGGTTTATTTACCGTCAAACTGAGGTATCCAGTACAAAGTAATCTGCAGGCACATCCTGTGTTAGAGTACAACAGTGCAGAAAGCCTGTGCTCATATCATAACATCTGGCTTTGTGGCTCATTTTCATGTCATGGTCTCAAAGGGACATCATTCCAAGGTTGATAACACAACATCCCCCTTTTCTCCAAATGTAGTTATCGTATGCTACAAGGGAAAATAGATAATTTTTCGGCTGTAACAAGATTAATTATACAGAGATAGGGGTCGTAAAATTTTCCAAGTACTGAAGTCTAGTAGTCATACAGCACAGAAACAGACCCTTCGATCCAACTCCTCCACATCGACCAGATATCCTAAACTGATCCAATCTCATTTGCCAGCATTTGGCTCATATCCCTCTAAACCCTTCCTATTCACGTAACCATCCAGATGCATTTTATATGCTGTAATTGTACCAGCCTCCATCACTTCCTCTGGTAGCTTGTTCCATACAAGCACCACCCTCTGCATGAAAAATTTGCCCCTTAGGTCCCTTTTAAATCTTTCCCCTCCCAACTCAAACCCATGCCCTCTAATTTTGAACTCCCAAAGGCTATTTTCCTATCCATGCCCCTCATGATTTTATAAACCTCTATAAGATCACCCCTCAGCCTCTGATGCTCCAGGGAAATTAGCCCCAGCTTATTCAACCTCTCCCTATAGCTCAAACTCTCCAACCCTGGCAACATCCTTGTAAATCTCTTCTGAAGCCTTTCATATTGCAGGGAGACCAGAATTGAACCCAGCATTCTAAAAGCGGCCTAACCAATGTCCTGTACAGCTGCAACATGGCCTCCCAACTCCTACACTCAATGCACCAACCAAGAAAGGCAAGCGTGCCAAATGCCTTCTTCACTATCCTATCTACCTGCAACTCCACTTTCAAGGAAGTATGAACCTGCACTCCTAGGTCTCTTTGTTCAGCAACACTCCCCAGGGCCCTACCATTAAGTGTATAAATCCTGCCGTGATTTACCTTACTAAAATGCAACACCTCACATTTATCTAAATTAAACTCCATTTGCCACTTCTCAGCCCATTGGCCCAACTGGTCAAAGTCCTATTGTACGCTGAGGTAGCCTTCTTCACTGGCTACTACATCACCAATTTTGGTGTCATCTGCAAACTTACTAACCACACCATCTATATTCACATCCAAATCATTTATATAACTGATAAAAAGCAGTGGACCCAGCACAGATCCTTATGGCACACCACTGGTCACAAGCCTCCAGTCTGAAAAGCAACCCTCACCACCACCCTCTGTCTCCTACCTTCAAGCAAATTTTATATCCAGTTAGCTAGCTCTCCCCGCATTCTAAATGATCTAACTTTGTGAACCAATCTACCATGCGGAACATCGTAGAATGCCTTGCTGAAGTCGATATAGACAATGTCTACCACTCTGCCTTCATCAGTCTTCGTTGTCACTTCAAAAAACTCAATCAAGTTAGTGAGACATGATTCCCACACACAAAGCCACGTTGACTCTCCCTAATCATCCTTGGCTCACTAAATGCATTTAAATCCTGTCCCTCAGAATCCCCTCTAACAACTTAACCACCACTGATGTCAGGCTCATCAGTCCATAGTTCCCTGTCTTTTCTTTCTCACCTTTCTTAAATAGTGGCACCACATTAGCCACCCTCCAGTCTTCCTGCACCTCACCTGTGGCTATTGATGATACAAATATCTCAGCAAGGAGCCCAGCAATCACTTCCCTGACCTCCCTCAAAGTTCTGATCAAGTTCCAGGAATTTATCCATCGTCATGTGTTTTAAGATGTCTAGCACCTCTTCTTCTGTAATGTGGACACTTCTCAATATATCACTAATTATTTCCCCAAGTTCTCTAGCTTCCATATCCTTCTCCACATTGAATACTGACATGAAATACTCAATTATTATAAAACCCATTTCCTGTCGTTCCACACACAGGCACCCTTGTTGATCTTTAAGGGGCCTTATTCTCTCTCTGGTTACTCATTGTCCCTTAATGTATTTGAAGAATCTCTTTAGATTCTCCTTAACCCTATTTGCCAAAGACATCTCATATCCTCTTTTTGACCTCCTGATTTCTCTCTTAAGTATACTCCTCCTGCCCTTATACTCCTCTAGGGATTCACTTAATCCCAGCTGTCTATACCTGATATATGCCTTCTCCCTTTCCTTGACCTTAGCCTCAATTTCCCTAGTCTTCCAGCATTCCCTACACCTACCAACCTTGCCTTTTGCACTATTAGGAACATACGGTCTCTGAACGCTAATTAGCTCATTTTTAAAGGCCTCCCACTTTCCAGTCATCTCTTTACCTGCAAATAACCTCTCCCAATCAACTTTTGAAAGTTCTTGCTAATATCGTCAAAATTGGCCTTAGTCTAATTTAGAACTTTAACATCTGGGTCAGATCTATCCCTTTCCACAACTATTTTAAACCTAATAGAATTATGATCTCTGGCCCTAAAGTGCTCCCCCACTGACACCTCAGTCACCTGCCCTGCCTTATTTCCTACGAGCAGTTCAAGTTTTGCTCCTTCTCTAGTAAGTACATCCAGACACTGAATAAGAAAATTTTCTTGTATACACTTAACAAATTTTTCTCCATTCATGCCCTTAACCCTATGGCAGTCTGAGTCTATGTTTGGAAGGTTAAAATCCCCTACCCTATTAATACAGTTGGCTCAGATTTCCTTACATATTTGCTTCTCAATTTCCTGCTAACTCTTGAATTGAATTGAATTCAATAAAATATCTGGAATTAAGAATCTAATGATGACCATGAATCCATTGTCGGAAAACCCATCTGGTTCATTAATGCCCTTTAGGGAAGGAAACTGCCATCCTTACCTAGTCTGGTCTACACATGACTCCAGACCCACAGCAATGTGGTTGACTCATAACTGCTCTCTGGGCAATTAGGGATGGGCAACGAATGCTGCCTAGCCAGCGGCACCCTCATCCCATGAATGAGTAAAGGAAAAAAAAGCCATCTCTGCACTTAAACAATGTATAGACGCAGATTATACCCCAATAAAATCACAACATGCTTTCTCAAAAACATATGTAGCATTTTGACAACTTTTCCACGTTTCATTATGGTCTAATTTTCTGGAAGCGTGGATTTCACCCGTTGCTATACCTGGCCTGTAGTCATGTTGTCAGTCTATTGATTGCTTTCCTGGTGTTCCGTCACACTGTTGGCATCTGGGTGTGTTGAAGAATTTGGATCGACTTGGGCAAAATCTTGCTTCGTAAAGATGATCTCTGCTGGCGATGGTAACCCCATATCCAGAGGGGTAACTCAGAGATGTCACATGGGCCTATACAAAGTCTTGTTTCATTGTCCTACACTTCAGGACAGGTGACTGAACAGTGTGAACTATCACTTGGAGGGACCCTTTGATCTAGGGTAATGTGGAGAGGATGTCACATGGCTCACACTCCATTTGAAACATGTCATGCTGAAAGATCTTCTTGGAAACTGTGGCCCATTGTGAGAAATTATTTCTCCAGGTGCATTGAGCAGACTGAATTTGGCGTAGGAAACTTGACGTTTCGGGTCGGGACACTTCTTAAGGCATTTTCTGCTCCTCTGATGCTGCGTGGCCTGCTGTGTTCCTCCAGCTCCACACTGTGTTATCTCTGACTCCAGCATCAGCAGTTCTTACTATCTCTGACTGAATGTAGCACTCAGTTTGTCTGCTGGGATGTCCCTGATCTCTTTGACAGGTGGAAATTTGGAGAAATAATCAGTCACTAATCAGCCCTTGGTGTAGCTGTGACAACATGACCTGGTGAACAAGGACTTGCTTTCCTTCAAAGATTTACCCCTCGAGATACCAAGCTCTTCTCGGTAAGGCCATCTGAAAGTATCCCTTATCAAGGCAGGAAAGCCTTCAAGAGATTTTGTCATCAACCTCTTCACACATGTTATTACGCACCCCTGAACCCGAGTCTCTTCCTCAGATCCTGCAGGGGACAGTTTTCAGCTTGAGATGCTTGAACATATGTCGACAGTCCTTCTGCCAAGCATGTTATGTCTCTCTTGAGAAGCTCTCTTCATGATGCTTTGTCAGAAACATTTGAGAAGTATGGTGCCAGAAGTTGAAGAATCCAAGGCATCTCTGTTAGTATTCCATGTCTTGTAACTGCCAGTTATCTTACATTTCCAACTTTCCCTGGGTCAGGACAGATTCTACAACTGGAATCAAAACAAAAAACTCATCTGATTTCCATTCACTGGGACTTCTTACTGTGGAAAACAAGCCGTTTGTGGTGAGCTGCTGCCATCAGTGAGTGAAGGATCTGATTATGTTCTTCTTTGGTTTTGCTCACTACCATAATAACATCAGCAATGCATACGCATTCTCCATAATTCTGGACTGACTGGTAAACCATCAGGTAGTAATATCCTCCAAATAGTGTTCTGAGGGTAGTGACTCCCTAAGGTTCCCTTGCTCTGTTCACTAACCAGTATCCATGTTTAGTATCTAGCTTAGGGAAGGTGTGAACCGGTCATTGGATTCCATTTGGAATCTTGTATGGAAATCTCTTTTTGGAGGTTTAGACATCTCTTACCGAGACAGTCCCTGATTATACTGTCGTTCTTTAGTACATGTGGAACTGAACGCCACCCAACTGTGTGATGAACCACAAAGTGGACGTTGCCATTGTGGTCCATGTTTAATAAACTCGGCCTTCAGCTTTCCTCAGATGTGAACCCTTGCATCTTCTGGGAGGCTGGGTGGAGAGTATTGCATCTTCTGAGGTGGAATACCACATCACCTTTGGAACCTCCTGCAAAGTTGACCCTCCCTGATTGCATTCGTTACAAATCATGGACTGATTCAATGCAAGTATTCTCAGACTCTTCTGCCACCAGTGGTCCCTTGGTGATCTGAGAATAGTCACAATGTTGAGTTGTGCAGAGTGGTAGCCCTGCCACTGCTGGCCTGGTCATGTTCGCCAGGTAAAATACTTGTGGTTTCCATGCTAAATTGCCATAGCTACATTGCATTGTTAGTGCAATGGTTTGGCCAAATTGGTGTGCAGTGAATCCAGTGGTTATCTGGATTATCCATTGAGTTCCTATGATTATGGTAGATCCCTCAGAACTGAGACTGGTCTGAAATTTGCACTCGCTCGTGTGTCAGTCTTGGTTTTTGGGTTGTGCTCTGGGTCATGTTTCATGTCTGTCTTACTATAACTCTGTGTCTCAGCTTATGTTTACACAGGTCTCAGTGAATTTCTTGCCTTTCTATGGTGCCTGTCTTCTGTTTGGTTGTACCTTGTTATGGCTTCTAGCTGCAAGCTAAGAAACAGATTTTGTGCACTGGAAGATCCACTGTTCTTTTGTACTGCATGCCTTATATGGACATGGATTACAGGACAGCTTCTCAGCGAATGCGATAGACTGCACTTGCCACGCAGCTAGCTTTCATTTTGTGACCTGGCATTCAGGTGCTGTTGTCCAAGTCACCCTGCTGAATAAACACTGACTCTGTACAGTTACACAGCGAGTGACCCTTACCCACCTGAATAAACACTGACCCTGTACAGTTACACAGCGAGTGACCCTTACCCACCTGAATAAACACTGACCCTGTAACAGTTAC